TCAATTGTAGATTAAGTAGCAAAAGATGTTGTAACCATCTTGCACCTTGAAAAAGAAGTAAGACAAAGGCTAGCAAGATTGCGTTGAATAGTGGGCTGAATACAGTTATTAGCTCCAATTTCACTATGTAAAATTTTGAAATAGGGGACCACATCAGAAACTTGGCAAAGCTATGCCAAAACCTTCTCAAGTTTAATCATGCAATCGAAACGCCACCACATCTTATTACGCCATCGTCTGGTAGTAATGCGAATAGGTATGCTCTACTTTTCCTATACAGTATGCAATAGTGACGGTCCCACGATTTCCATTCGGGAGGGGAGAGGCGACCAGAAATCTGAATAAATGTGCATGGCGTTGATTACGCACTTTTGAAAATGTCTCTGGGCTGATTCCCAAAAATTCCATAACCTCAAAATTTTGAAAAGTGGGTATAGCTGTGGCCACGCCCCCATGTTTTACAAGGCTAGTTTGGAACTTTAGAAAGTGGTAGCAGCGAGTGCGGACTCATAGTAGTCCGCGATCCCACCGACTTCTCTTTTTAGAAAGATGGATTCCTCACGGGAATAGCCCATGAGGTGACCGGTTTAAGCCTCGACCGGGGGTAATTTTTGGGGTAGAAAGTTTTGTAGCGCGGAGTCTGGAGGACTGCAGCCTCTCAGATTCATAAACTCTCCCAATTTTCTCCACAAAAATTGCCTTTTCTACTTGGTGGGAGTCTTTTCGCTAAACTTTTAATACATAAGAATAGAGATCAAAATTCCTCACTCTTCTCGTCACCTTTATGGGACCTGAAACACAAACATTGTCAACAAGTGGTATTTTGATACCATTGTCCATTGAAAAGGGGAAGTTTCAAGCGAGTTCCAAGCGAAATAATAGGTGTTTTGGCAAGTATGCGATCGATTCTGTGTTCTTTGCACTCGTGTGTTCTTGAGAAAGACACTTCACACCACTCTTATATCCTCCAAAACCCCTGTCTTTTTATAAAAAATGATGGGCCCCCCCACCCCCCGTTTCCGAGAGGCAGGAGGGCCCAGAGAACCCCCCTATAAGCGACGGATCCGCGCATCCCACTTTGCAAGAGGGTTATTGACGGAGGGTAAGCATGGAAATCCATGCAGTAGTGAGCTGGAACGATTGCAAAGCTTTGGCCCGGGAGGGGATTTGAACCCTCCATGGACTAGCGAGAGACAGACTCGATCGCCTTGCGCCATCCGCCGCTTATCAACAGGTACCTTTCTGAGCTAATTGAGCCTGGCGCCGCCGAGGATCGACAGGTAGATACATGTTAACCAGCTGGCAGAAACGGTATGAGCGAACCTGTCGATACATGACCAACGGCGTGGCAAATCATCATCAAATATCGATCATCTCTACATTTACTTATTTCTATTCAACATATGGATCCACCGGACTAGGTGAGTATTATTTCGTATATTTCTTCGTTTTTTTCTACAAATCACCGTTTTGTTGGCTCGCCTTTGTTTCGTTGCAGTCTGAGTGTATGCGATTATTCTACTCATATCACTCTTTGCACTCATACTCAGTCTATTCTGGTCATTTCAGATTACATAAAACTGACTCTATGAACAAGTTTCTCTCTATGGCAACTTTCTCCAAAATCCCCTTCCTTTGCAGTCTTCTATGTAAATGCTGTGTTTTGATAGTGTTTGCGCTAAAATCTTTCATACATTTCATCGGAATTGCAGTTCTCTATCTTGATCCATCGCATTATTCAACAAACACCAAATTCCACTATCGCTAAATTTTTATGCCAAAATCTATCATTTCTTTTTCCACCAAGTCTGCCCAGAAATTATGAATCGCAGTATCGCAGTTTTGATGTAATCTGCTCAGTTTTGGCTTCCTTTTTGTGTATTTTGATCATTCAAAATACTCATATGATGCAAACTCTCGTAAGATTTCGCGATTTTCGAGCATTTGGTGCACAAATTCAAGTTTGAATGCCTAACTTGGCCCTTTGTGTAGATTTTTCCTTGTTAGCGCTCCAGTCTTCTTGTCACTCATCCCAGCCCGTTGCCTCATGCGAATTTTTGGTACTCTTCCTTCATCGTAGACAAAGCTCATGAGCAAATGCACGTTTTTCCTTTCAAGTTTGAATTCTTTTCATGCTCCGAATTGTAAACATCCATGTTTCCCAAGCGCGATAGCATCTTTGTTTCTCTATTCGAGTAACCCTTTCACAAAGCACTGTCTTTTCTAAGCTTTCATCAAGCATATGTTGCCAATGAAAGAAACAAAGATGCAGCGCGCACAAAGAGCACATACCATCGGGGATAGTATATAATACCCAGACTCAGGAAACCGGCACCCATCCCACAGCTGAGGACCTGGAGGAGCAGTCTCCCTACTCAACTCAACATCGCACGGATCAACACACGTTCCTGAGCTACAACGCAGGACAACACCGAATCTTCCCGATCGTCACCTCCAGAAACAGTGAGTTCAGGTGAGTCGGTTTTATTCACTGGTGCAGGCATGACCTCACCAGAGGTGAGTGTTTTAACACAGACTTATGGCGGGCTTACCCTCGGGAAGCTCGCGCCCAAACATATTGACTATTTCTTGGATGACAACACCCAAGATTTCAACAAATGGCATCGTCAATTCGAGGATCTCATTCGTAATTCCATAGTACCGCTTCCTGAGCAGTGTAAGGTAAATGCGCTATATGCCAGTCTAAGGGAGGATGCGCGTGATATCATTGAGGAAATGCCTCCTGAAGACAAAAACAGTTACGAAAAAGTGGTCGCATTTCTACGCACGCATTTTGAATATCCGCAGTTTCGCGCGTTAGCTAGACAGGAGTTGTCTAACTGTAGGCAAAAAGAAGATGAAGATGTGCATTCATTTAGTAACCGCATCAGGAGAGCTGTTCAAAAGTTACTAAAAGGGGCGCCTAAAGAAATGGTACAAGACAGACTTTTGGAAGAGTTTGTGGAGCGTTTGCGGCCAGAATTGAAATTCCATATCAAGTCGCTAGACCCCGCAACTTTTGATGAGGCTTTGAGAAAGGCGCGTACATATGAGTCTCTTTGCAATCAAATGGCCGACGTTATGGTTTACCATCCAGGTCTGCATCGATACGTCGCGAAGAAACACTTGGATGAATCAAGGAAGGACTACAGTCAAGAAAGAAGAGAGCCACCACCCAACAACTACCGGCCTAGAGATGTAAGACCATTCAATAAACCATGGGTACGCTCTTCTAACTCAAATGTCACATGTTATAAATGTGGCAAATTAGGGCATTTCGCTAACGTTTGTCGCTCTAACGTGCCTCCTCCAGCCAACTTTCAACTGCGGCGTCAGTTTCCAATTAGAAACAACCCCCAGCCAAACTCAAATCATAGGTAAAATCCCCAAGAACGTGCAGATTACTCTAGACCTCTGACGCAACGTAATCCAATACCGCAGTAGCGCCCAGACACTTACAATAGGTCCAATGTGCTCGCTGTAGAACAGTGATAGAGCAGAAAGATGCTCATATCGCGGCGTTAATCGCCAGAAACAACGCGTTAGCAGACATTGCGTTTGCAACCCGTGACCCAAACACTTCTGTTAGCAGCGAAGAGACATCTCGACGCTCATTCTCTCCAAGTTCTGGTCCTTCAAAACTTGCTACTTGTTTGACAATTCTTGCTATGACTTCCACTGTGTCCGCCTATGATTTACCTCCTGCGTATTTGTGTTCTCAAAAATCACCAACAACCTATGGGAAGATACCGTCTGAGATAAATTGTCTAAAATTCTACCAAGTTGGTCCGCAACTGCGCATCCAATGAAGCTCAAAGTATTTAGACCCAACACTATACGGTACAAAAGTACTGCTAATGTCTGCAGAGTAATCACGCAAACAGTCTTCTATTCTGTGAACTTCTTCGGCGCTCGCACACAAAGAAGTACATTAAAAGAGCAGACAGTCTCAAAAGGCGTCTGCCAACACATGATTAGTCACAAAGTCTGCGCTCATGGTGAACTCTCCCCGATAGGTAATGTTTGGAAGACTTTGAATAAAGTAGAAATAGATTTGGCCCGCACCGTTCCATTGTTGCTCTGAATACACTTTAACAGTATCCAATTGTGTTATATTTCAGGCTGTAGTTTATGGATATCACGGATCGCCAACAATCGAAAGCACGATAGGACCACTACAAGGATGCCGATATGAAGACGGAACATGCACAACAAAGGATGGAGCGGCTGTGATTTGGACACCGGAATCAGAGGAAAGATGTAAGTATATTTTAGTTGCCCCCATGAAGGGTACTTTAGTAGATAAAGTTTGGTTAAGTGATATTAAGGAATTTGCACTCTCGTTTCCTTCTCTTGAATCTCATTTCCTCGATTGTGGTCACACTCTTACTCTCACTGATCAGGGTTATGCCGTTTAATTTTATCACTCTCTCTCACGTCAAAAAAGACAATCTGAGCCAACTATTTTGCAACAGGTTGGCGTTGCCACTACTAATCAGTTAGCTGCCCAACTCTTAGCCGTAGAAGATACCATGCAAAACTTTTTGAGCGCATCTTTGCATCACTCAATTCTCTCATTATGCAAATCCTTAAATTCGCTTAGCGCATCTCTAGCCGCAACTGTCTCCGCCAATCCTACAGTAGCCATGAGAAACATTTTGCAGCGCGCAGATATCAAAGCAAAATATCTGGGCGCTAACATAATCAGCACGCAGGCTTGTGCAGCGATAGCTCCGTCATCCTATTCTCTGTTGAAGTTCAATACTTCTTGCTTTTCACATCCATCGGTGATCATGACCCTACCAAATAAATCTCAGTGGAAGACCTTCATTGAGCCAATCACTGGCATTCTAACCAATGAGGTCGACCACATTCCATGTTCTCATCAATTAGTGTTCTCATTTCCGAATAATAATTCTATTCTCAAATTCCATCCAATGTCTGTCACTTTCGAGCTCATTCCTCCCTCAGATATCACAACTCTGCAATTATCCACCGATCAATCATCTGGTAACATTAAACCTGCGCTCACTCTGTTTCATAATCTGGTAATAACTAATTTGAGCGAGTTCGTTCCCGAACAACAATTTAATGAGCTATGGGCAACTCTTGAGGCGAATGAGGAGGTTTTGAATGCGCATGTAGATAATCCAGCTTCAAATCAGTTCAATCATCACATACCTTCTACTTTTAACTCCGCTCCCCACAGCTTACTTGATCACATATTCTCTTATCTGTATCAGCCTTGGGTTAGCATTTGTTGCGCTATAGTTACGTTACAAGTTCTCCTTCGCGCCATAATGCTTTATTTCTCACTGCAAATACCAATTAATATTATCAACTACGCATGCAGATTTCGGTCATTTAACCAAAGCCAAGCTCCTACTATATCTGGTACTGATAATGCAAATGCGGTCCAACTCACAACAAGTAAAATCTTCGAGTTTCCAAAAGTTTGCAATGTCTCTCTTAAGCATCCTATTACATCCGCGCATATCAGAATCAAAGTTAATGACATTAGCGTGTCAGCGCTAATTGATACTGGCTCTACCATTACATTAGCTTCTGATGGTTTATGCGCAGCGCTAGGAATTTTCAAACTCGACAAATCCCAGTCGCCCGCAGCCTTAGGCAAGGCCGGCACTCCTATCCCAATGGCTGGTTCCAAAACCGTCAAACTAGACATAGGTAACATACAGCTATATGCGGTTCTCCACTTCACCATAGGCCATTGTGTACCCAATGTGGACTCCAATTATGAAGCGATTCTGGGGCACGATGTCCTTTCGCAGTTGCCACCAATGACTATCGATTACAAAACAAAACAAGTTCACTTTGGCGCCACAACTTTGATGCTGGGCACCACCGTCAAAAAGAATTGCGATGTTGCTGATCTAGAGTATCCAATAAGGGTAAAAGAAACAACGTGCCTTCAGCCCAATGCAGAGTGCTTTGTTTCATGTGCTGTTCCAGTAACATCTAAAAAAGATCTGGTTTTAGTATCGCAATGTGCGAAGCTAACTAATAAGGAGCTCATAGTAGCGCCATCCATAATCAATTCCGAGACACCATATCTTTTGGTGTCTAACCCAAGCAACGAGCCGGTAACTCTATATGCAGGCATGCGTATAGCTAATGCCGCTGAGGTAATTCAAGAGGGTCTTACTGTAAGTGAATTACATGACACGCCAATGCCCGCAATCTCTTGTGTAAGCGAGTTAACTAGCGATGACCCGAGCTACTGCGTAGATCTTGACAACAGCGATCTAAGCGATGTAGAACGCGAGCAGCTGGCAAATTTGCTTATAGAATTCGCCGATGTATTTTCTAGACATCAGTATGACATAGGTAGCTGTACAGCTGGTAAGGTGCACATTTACACCAATAATGACCCGCCCGCACGCATTCGTCCATATCGTGTTCCAGTAAAATACCGCGAAGAACTACAGAAACACGTGAATATGCTTCTAAAATGCGGCGTAATGAAGGAGTCACACACTCCATGGGTGCATAATCTAGTTGTAGTGCGTAAGAAGGACAATTCACTGCGCGTCTGCCTAGACATGCGCCGTCCTATCAATGAAGTGACTTAACACTTCCTGATCCGTACCCAATTCCCCGCATCGACGATGTGCTAGAGAAAATTGGTGGAAATAAGTATTACACCACTCTAGATCTCGCTAGTGGCTACCTACAACTGCCACTAGATGACGAAAGTAGTTATAAATGCGGCGTAATAACTGAGAATCGGGTGTACCAGATGACACATCTGCCATTTGGTCTAAAGTCCGCTAGTAGTTACTTCGCTCGCATAATGACCCGCGTGTTAGGAGGTTTAGAGGATAATGTGCTTACATATATTGATGACATTCTCATCTATAGCAAAGATTTCATATCCCATCTCAGCGCTATCCGAAAAGTATTAACACGCCTGCGCGAATTCCACCTAAAAGCATCGCCGAAAAAATGTGTCTTTGCCAAACACCAAATTACATTCCTGGGGCATACGGTCAATATGCATAGCTACTCACCTGCGGAGGCAAATACCCGATCCATAAGAGAATTTCCCACCCCGCGCAACGTCAAGGAAGTCAAGCGTTTTGTGGGTATGGTAGGATTCTTTCGAAAATTTATTCCAAACTTTGCAACCATTGCTGAGCCGCTCACTTGGCTAACACGTAAGGATAATAAGTTCCAATGGACCGACAAGCAAGAAGCTGCCTTCGTAGAGCTTAGAGACGCGTTATTGCAGAAACCCATCCTCGGGTACCCAAATTACGATAAACCGTTTCACATTTTTACGGATGCCAGCCAGGTAGCTCAAGCGGGCGCTCTAATGCAGGAGCACGAAACGGGGCCAAATAAATACTATGCCATAGCATACTGTAGCCGCACTTTGAGCGATAGCGAGCGTCGCTAGCCCGCGGTACAAGTAGAACTAGGTGCGATTATATATGCGTTGCGCCAATTCAAGCCATATATCTGCATGTCCGAGGTAGTTCTACATAGTGACCATAAGCCGCTCACGTTCTTACTAAGCAAAAGTAAAACGCATGACAACCTAGCAAGATGGATAATTGAGCTGCAGAGTTACAACATCAAAGTTGTACACGTAAAAGGCGAAAAGAATACGGTAGCCGACGCATTATCGCGCATTTTTGAGGACAAAAGCGAAATCCCAGTAGTCAGGGACGAGTTGCAAGACATCATTGAGTTCCCAGTAAGTTTACAAACATTCTGCTTAGCTACAGGTGTGCAAGCTAAATCTTCACCATTTCCCAGAAAAACGTTTGTAAAAGGCCTACAACACCCTGTTAACTTTGTAGATGAACAAAAATCAGTAGCTTCCTAGGGTTAGTTTTCCAGCTAAAAACTACTGGAAACTTAGAGCCGTCTACTGATGAGCAAATCAAAAAAGAAGTATCAGAGATGGCAAACAAAACAACTATAAAATCCGATGGTTGCTTATACTATCGATTTGAACGAAAAGATGCAGTAAAACTACTCTTATTGGTGCCTCAATCATTGCGTCAACTGCTCTTTGAAGCTCATCATTCTAGCGCACTTTCAGGAGGCCATGTCAGCTGGCGAAAAACGTTAGCCAAGATTTTGCGTAAGCATTATTGGCCAATAATTTATAGTGACATACATAAATGGTGTGAAAGCTGTCTCACATGCCAAATGCGCAGAAAACCTAAACCAGCTTATAAAGAAGAACTTATTCCAGTTCACAGCGAAGCAGTTTTCGCCAGAGTTGGACTCGACCTATGCGGACCTCTCAAAACCACGGACAGAGGTAACAAGTACATCTTGAACATAGTATGCTGGTTCACCAGGTATGTCATTTCTACTCCATTACCAGGCGCAAAAGCACTCACAATTGCTCATGCGCTTTTCACAGAATGCGTCTTAAAATATGGAACCATGACCGAATTGATTTCTGACCAGGCCTCTAGTTTCACTTCTCATTTTTATCAAGAATTTTGCAACCTTCTCAATATACAGCAAAAACTAGCCACACCATATCATTCCATGGGTAATGGTGCAACAGAAAGAACATTTGGAACATTTCAGGTCATGTTATCAAAGTTCATCAACGAAAAACAAGAGGACTGGGACCTATTCGTACCCTGCGTCACATTCTGCTACAATACCACCATAAACGAAGCGACAGGTGAGTCCCCTTTCTTTTTAATGTTTGGTAGGGATCCAGTTTTCACAATAGATAGGATTTTGATGCCGCAAGCGCGCGTAAAAATGCCTAACTTTGACGAAACGTCCGAATATAAAGCACAACTTCTATCTGCGCTACACCTCGCTTGGTCTAACGCAGCAGAACATGCGCGATCTTACAAGCAAAAAATGAAGGAGCAATATGATAAGTCCGCCAGACCATCGGAAATCAAAGTAGGAGATCGCGTTCTATTCCGGAATTATACGAATAAACAGGGGCTAGCGCGTAAGCTTTGCTTCCCTTGGATCGGACAGTTTAGAGTGGTTAAACTAGAACACCCTCATGCTGAGATTGTTAGCATAACTGCGCCCCAAACAAAACCTCGTAGAGTACATCTCAATCAAATAAAGAAAGTAGTTACACGGGCCCAGCATCCACGCTTCCAACAATTCCA